ACATGACAGCCGAAAGCCGTCTAAAGACAGCGGAAATCACACAACGCAGCTTCCAGTGTTTCCAAATGATTCTTCATCAACTTCTACGAAGACAATACTTCGTAAAAACAGACGATTGTAAAGTTACAGCTCCCACAAATTTAACTTTTTGTGGTCCCCAAACGAAAGGAGCTTATACAAACTATAGCGATACACTAGTTTAATAATGATATACCAAGAAAATTAATAGTAAAAACCTTTAGATGTCTGTCTGTTAGGAAAAACCAAAGGTAGCAAAATACAGTTAGAAATACAAAAGGTATATTAAACAAACAGACAATAACAGTTATCATAGAATGAATGTTACTTGTGAGCTGCTTCGTGAGAACAACAACCACAAACGGTGAAACTCTATTTTATGGACGACTTTTGAACGAATTTTTAAGTGACCTTGAGAACATTAGCCAATCAGAAGAGAGTTAGTATAAAGTAAAAATATATTATACAAAACTGATGAATTACAATGGATATTCTTCTTTTACATGATTTAAAAACTTGTTAAGGTTTGATAAAGGTTCCGAAGTTTTGAAATCATAGTGCATGCGGTATAAGAACTCGTCCATATGGCTCCATAGTAATCGTCCTCTGGAGCCGTGGTAGGGTCTTAAAAAATACTTCAGCCTTGACCACATGCCTTCAATATTGTTTGTATGGACTTCCGTCGTTGGATCAACAAAATGACGTTTGTGCACCCCAACATGATGCACAAAACCAAGTCTCGAGAGGCATCTATACGCTTTCCAATCATCGTCGTGCCAGGTTGAACGTACTCCTTGATGATAATGTTACTGGAGACTTTATGATCCAATTCGCAACGATTATCATGATTTGTCTTAGCCTTAGCCGTGACCGGGCAAAAAAAGTGCCAGTTCGAGCAGATTTTTTTCTCCAACATATAGTACAACGAAATACAATGTCATCACGGTAATCAGCACATCGTGTTGCGGTCATTTGATTGCCGCAGTCACAAACACAGGAACTTCTTAATAGTCATATCTGCTGTAGTCTCTCACCAATCACCTCTTCTCTAAAATCTGCTGTAAAACGATCGAATGTGAGCATCTCGCCTTGAACTTAGCGCCGTGACCTTGAAGCTCCTTAAACGCCTCTGATTGGCTCGTCCATAAATTAGAGTCCTACCCCACAAACTGAGTTCACTTGATTGACAGGTGTTCTTCTGCAAGTGACTGCACCAATGACGTAATGAGGAAGACGGAGTCCAATAGTATTATATAATAGTAATCCGTGCCAAAAGTCCAACGTAGAGTCGGAAGGCCTAAAATGATGTTATAATACTATTATAGTCTTCAATCAAAACGGTGGCCAATAAAACAGAAGAACGAACGGCGCAGATAGCGTTCTATATTTTAACCAACGCGGTAGTAAAATCGTATATCATTCATCGAAACAATTATCATCGTCTTTTTAACAAGTGATACAGCAAAACAACAGATATTGAATAAAAATGTGGTTACAAATAAAGTGTGACAAATTAGAAAAAAATGTGGTTTTTATATTGATGTTACAAAAATCACTGAATATAAGTCCACATAGGAACAGTGGTATTGTTTCTCCTTGAGTTAATTAACTTTTTTGATTGTAATTTACGCATTAGAACTACTGTTTGCACTTTAATTGCATATTACCCAGGTAAAGTGATAGTATATTGAGTGTTTCTGTTTTGCTTTTGTGTATTTATTGCATCGAAGCATTCTTGGTCGATTTTTACTTGATTTATTTAGTTAAGGTTTGAGAATCCTATTACATATCCTGTTTTTGTCACCGTTCTAATTGATTTTCAAGATGGCTAGATCTGCTCATAAATATGGACAACCATATTGCTTATTTCCCGTGGAAGAAGGGATGCAATGTGATGAGTGTAATAAGTGGTTCCATAAGATGTGCACCCGATTAAGCCCCACTGCATATAAAATGTGCTCAAAGCGCAACTCTCATTGGCGTTGTAGTTTTTGTCGCTCGGGCAAAACATTACTTATCCAGGAAGCAATCAGTCTCCTAGTGTTAGCTAATAAGAAGGTTGATGAGGGCTGTACTGGCAACATTGGTACTGATGGCGAAGATTGCGTTAGTGTCGTAAATGCTGTCACGGCGCAAGCCAGACATCCAACTGTGCAACGCGCTATTAAACCGTCTACCCCGAAACAATCAATGAGTGACATCTCTTTAGATATTGGTGGCCATATTGCTACAGCAGCAACCGGTGACCCAGATAAAACAATTACTGTCCCGAGTGGGTCTAATATGGATGCTACGACTGATGGAATATGGATGACACGAAAACGCAGAAGAATAGGAAAGATAGCTAAAACTAATGACCGTTTACTTGATAAGTCCTTGGTGGACTCTCAGGCCAATCCGCCAAATTCCTATAGTAAAGCTTCGTCTAACATTGTGAGTCACTCGCTCGACTCGCAGGACTCAGTTACAATAAAAACTAATCGTAAGTTACCAGGAGTTAAAATACAGTATCTAACGTCACGGTCGAAAGCTGTGAACACAGTTTCAAAAGAAGCTAAATCCCTCCCTATTTTAATTATTTAGAATCTAGAGGAGTCGAAAGACAACGACCCTGCTAGAAGACATGCACATGACCTGCAGTTAGTGGATTCTGTGGTAAGAAATGTACTACCTGAAGAGGTTTCAGGGGTACATATTACAAAATAATACGACTTGGTAAATGGGTTGGAGGCGAGACCCAACCAAGAAGAATCCTGAAGCTGGTTCTCGGGAGTTTTGAAGAAAGTGACATATTATTGAAAAACGCACCAAGAACTCGTGACTCAAATATCCGTATTCGACCAGATTTGCCGCTTGTAAATCGAATCAATTGGAAGAATGCTCTTACGGAGTTGAGAACTCGCAAATTAAATTGCGAAAATAACCTTACCATTAAGGGTTTTCGGGTAGTCAGGTCTAGGAAGCCAATGCTTCCGAGGACTCTATGGGTAGAACGATTGATTGCAAAAACACCTTAAGTGTGTGCTACACGAACGCTCGTAGTCTTAGAAATAAAAAGTCCGAGCTAATTCTGATGGTGGAAGAATTATGTCCCGACATAATCGTTGTTACAGAAACTTGGTTCATAGTAGATATAGACTGTACTCCTTTCATTGCAGGTTATATCTGTATTAGAAGTGATAGATTTTCAAGTCGCAAGGAAGGAGGTATAATATTATACGTTAGGGATCACTTTCGTATACAATCAACCATATCGGAGGCCCATATCAGTGGCACATATGAGGTTGCATGTTGTAAGATTAAATCTAGAAATGGGTTAGTGACTATAGGAGGAATATACCGTAGTCCATTTTGTCCTGCTGACGACTTTATCCTAAGACACATGTGTTCTTGGAGTATGACAGAATGTTGTCTCATAATTGGGGACTTCAACGCACCGCATATCAACTGAATAGAGCTTACAGCTCCAGGTAGTGGTTTCGATAGCGACCTTTTATCTACCGTTATTCAGTGTGCAATTGTACAATGTATCACAAAACCGACATATATTGATTTGCAACATGATCCGTCACTGTTGGACCTCGCCCTCACCCACCACTGTGAGGATGTTTTTGATATTCATCACCTTCACCCACTAGTTAACAGTGATCACGTTGTAATTCACTTTAAGTTTAGGACACATGGTATACAATTCGTATCTGCTCCACCCCGTCGCAATATGTGGAGAGCCAATATTCCGGAAATCAGAAGCTGTGCTATCTCGACTGATTGGTCGGTCGACGTGGATGGATTGATCGAAGATGAATGGAATGAGTTTAAGGCTACATTCGAGTCCGTAACGTCGCCCTTTTGCCCATGGTCAGCACGTAAGCTATCACATTGCCATCCACGGATTATTAAGGAAACCCGGAAGCTGTTAAAGCGTAGGAAACGTTTCTGGGACTTATTCTTGTTGACAGGTCATGCACCATTTAAGCGTGAGTATCAAAAATTCCGTAATATCTGTAAGAAAACCATAGACAAATCCCGTATCACTTACGAACGACAGTTAGTATATGATAGCCGTACTTGTCCGAAACGATTGTTTTCGTATGTAAAACGGCGAATGAAACGTAGTGACGGTATTCCCCCGTTACTGTTACACGAAAATTCAGATTTACTAGCTGAATCAGATTGAGCAAAGACTGAGACTTTTTCAGACTATTTTAGCGAAGTCTTCTCCACGTTTATTGTAACAAATACTTGTCCCACTCATACCGAGATATCAACCATCGAATCTGTACAGGTGACTGAGGAAACTGTCCTTCCGTTGATAACTAACCTCAAACCTTGTATGATACCGGGCCCTGACGGGTTACACCCACGGTTGCTGTCATCTCTTGCGGACATTATTTCAAAACCGCTCGCGATACTCTTCAACATGTCCCTTTCACTCGCTCAACTCCCTAGAGATTGGAAAGACGCTATAGTCAGTCCTATATTTAAGGTCGGTCAGAGACAGATAGTATCTAACTACCGGCCTGTCAGTCTAACTAGCATAGTCGTTAAGTTACTTGAAAAGATAATTCGGGTTAGGTTGCTAAGCCACATAGATTTACACAATCTGTTACCTCATGAGGAACACGGATTTCGTAACGAGCGTTCATGATTGACTAACTTGCTTATTGCGACGGAGGATTGGACAGCAGCCCTAGATAACGGTCTGTCTGCTGATGTGATATTCCTAGATTTTAGCAAAGCATTTGACAAGGTTTCACACGTAGGTCTTATGCAGAAGCTCACGAGCTTCGGAATAATAGGTACTGTACGGGAGTGGATAGGAAATTTGAACTCTGGAGAACTATCAGATTACGCCAGACTCGGAATTTCTGAACATGTGTTCGATGTAAGTGTAATGAAAATTAGCTGATCTTATGTTTATTAAATGCGGTCGGTTTGTTTATCATTCTTAGTATAAACAGCAACTTTTCAAAAAGGAGGAAATGCTTCTAGAGGTTCTAAGTTTAGTTGCGAGTTTTCCTTTTCATCTAGGTTTGCATTCTAAGATTTATATACTGCTACTTAAATTTTAGAAGCTCTTGAGTGCTATATTTGTACAAATGAGGAGGGAAACTGGAATGACTGCATTAGAACTATCCAAACTTGCGAACCTTTACAAGATACCTGCCAGTCTATCGTTCAGTATCGAAGTAACCGAATGATTTCCTTCTGATATCATAGCTCCTTCTTTTTGGACTGTTCTCGCTGAGAGAAGGGCATTTGTTACAAAAGGCTGCACAACAACATCTGCTTGTCAAATGACATCATCTGTGATCTCAGAGCGTTGTTCCAGATCAAAAACCCGTGACTGGATTTGTTCTTACTGCTGTAACAGTGATCGATGCAATTACTATGTGCCTGTAAGTTCTTTCACTGGCTATCACATAAAGTATCCCTTTAAAAAAACAATAATACATGTTAGACAAGTATCTGGGTTGAAATTAATGTAAGCAAAATTAGGGTAAAAATTAATAAATCTATTTGCTTTTTGACTTTACAGGCAATAAAAAAACATTAATTCTCCTTATGTTTGATTTTACAACGATAAAACACATATAAAGTATGAAAATATGAATACCGTTACATTTATCCCCAGCTGGCAACTTTGAGGAAATTTTGGGAATTTCGTCTCATTTTCCTAAAGTTTACTATAGCAGCTTCCCCAAAATGGACCAAATTTTCCCCAAAGTTGGCAGCTTGGGATCATTTTACCATTAATATCTATCTCATAATACTGACATCAAATGACACATTCGGAATTGAATTGGCCTGGAGAGTAGAAATTCCAAAACAAAAGTTGATATATATTTGAAAGCACATAGTTGCCAGTCTAAACGTGTTGTTACAGTTGGAAAAGCTCAGAGAAATTTGAGTTAGATTAAATCATTAACAAGTAAATGTTATGGATGAGTGCCCATAATTTATAACTATGAACCAGTTCAGTGGTGAGAAGCTTAATTGTTGTTTCTATAATTTCACGGAAGTTATTCTAAGAATTTTTTTGTGCCATGATTCCAAACGTTCACCGTGTATGAAAGTTGTACCTAAAATTTATCACTGATACATTTAATTATACTGTGCACACATAAGTTATCGCAGGCTAAACATAATTAGAAATGTATCTTTTCTATTCTTCAAAATATCAAGCTAACTTCATCATATCATTTGATGCATAGTGACCATAAATGTCACCAAACCAACCCCTAATAATGTACGGAAAGTTTTAATGAGCCAGTTTATTTACAATGAATTCTAAATATTGTTTATCTCTTTTATAAAACATTTTGATGTTTACATGCTCACGCTTAAATATTTTTAAAATCCTATGGTTATTTGCATGAAAATGTCTTTATTTTTGATGTAGGGAGGCGCACTACGAATATGGAGTCCTCATACCTACACAACGTTTTTCATCGTCTGTCTGTGTAGCATATTTTGGAAATTTGTATGATCTTATAAGCAGTTGAAAAAACTGTAGAAAAGTATGTAAATAGTCACATTTTATGCATACAAGTTTTCCGAAACGAAGCAAATATGTTTTTCTAACTAATTAGTCAACCACTGTTTTGCTATATATAGCTCACACTTCGCTATAAAATGTTATAAAATAAGAACCTCAGGATAACCAAACTTTTTTCCTTCACTGAAATCCTTTGTTCACAAAGCTGCTGGGTCCAGCTAACCAGTCTCATATGTCTGAATTTATTCTTAATAATGCTAAAGACTGAGATTGATTAGTATAAAAGATCAGTTCGCAGAAGATAGTGAAACAATAACTACAGACAACAGATTAAAATCCATACTGACAGAACAAGCTTTTAAACAACTGTAATGAAATTTTAATCACTCATTGCTCGACAGGTTATGTCTTCTGGAAAGACACCATCCAGCCTAGAGAACATAACACCTTCAAAAACAAGCATTCTAATATGGGAATCGATCTCTAAAATAAAGTCACTGTTAAAATATCTTAAAATAGATGTAAGTGGTTATCAAAATTTCTTAGGCAAACCGTTAAAAGTGCACAACATTGGCTAAACTTATTTCTCTGGACGTTATCGTCAAAAAAGTTTAAGGTTTAGAGAATATCTCTATCCCTAGTAATCTAAAGTATTCTCTAGAAAATAAATGCATTGACAAGCGCAATTCATGTAAAACAATATTTGCCGTCCCGTCATACGAATTTTAGTTTAGTTTTTCATTCAGACATTGATTCATTTTACTCTTTGTATCAGAATAGCTACGTGATCAGATTATGTTGATCTGACAGATATGTCCATATAAAATGCCTCACTAATTTAGTTTCTTTATTGAAAATAGGATATATTTGCTGTTCAAACTGTGTAGTTTAAAGTTAAGTAAAAATTTAATTGCAGTGTTCTGTTCATAAAGTTGTTGTAAATACTGTACATATATGTGGATTGTCTGAATTTTTTTTAAATCTTTTTTTTTAGATTTCATGTCGGAAAATGGTTCTGTTGTTGAACATCAAAATACTCAGTATCCCTTTTTTTAAATAAATACGAGTGACTTAATATCTATTAACAAACATATAGATATAACTAATTTGTGAGCATTAGTCATATAAATATGACCATGTTTAGCCAAACAACTACATCGATTAGCACTGTGCATTACACAGAAAACCATCTTTATGAAAATAAAAAAGAACAAATCTTTTTATCCTTGTAACTTTATTTTCAGTAACAAAGTTGTATATTCTTTAAAAAATTGTAAATATAACAAGCACATTTCCTGAATATTTCAGTTACAATAATAATAAATTTCAACTATTCTTCAAATTCTTGGTTTTTTATGTTGTAGAGTAAATAGTGGTTATTTTCAAACAGCATAATCTAATTTTGTTAAAACTGATCAACGAAAACTTATAGCTAGTCTCTTTACCTCACTATGAGTAATGTAAAACTTCCTCACACTTAGTTCTTAGGACCATGTCTCTTGTGTAATTATACACTAAAAGATGTGAAAGTTACGTCCTAAAGGACGCTTTATATTAATTGTGTAGATTGTTTGAAAAAAATACACGTTGAGCATAATTCACGTAAATTAAGGCATACTCAGGGGTGTTTTGATTATCTCTTAAGGTCCCCTGTATAACATGAATTTACTGATGTACGAATTGTCTTGTTTTCCCAGACAAGTTACTTTTGCGTAACGGCATTCCAGCCGACGAATAACGGAGCAAGATATTGCAGTCCAAATCGACAATGTAAGAGCTGAGTAGGCTTTTTCCAAATATTATTTGTGCCATGTAAATCAGTTTCCTAAACGAACGCTTCCTCATATTACAGAGTAAACCTATTCCCAACACAGAAAAACCTGTCATTCACGTCAAGAACGTTATTGGCGGCCAAACCAAAACGTGGCATCAGTGCTTGAAGTCACTCACTTCTAGTCTGAGCCATGTTGGTAGATGCAGACTACTTGTTTGGGGTCCATGTGACTATCGTAACCAATGGTTGAAGACTCTTGGTGACATGGCTCAGAATCGATCACAATGGCGTCGGTGTATACACTCGCTGTCTTCCCTTAAACTAAGAGATTAAAATTGTTTCATATTGTAGTGAACAAGAACACGGGTGGGGACAAACGGATGTATTTGGCACAACAATTACAGTCTATCTCAACAAAATCTGAATACCATATAGTAAATCGTCAATTTGCAAAATATTCATGCATCAAACCAAACTGAACTGTTTCTGTTGCAAACACCAATCCATTGTCTCCCATCCCATTGTTCATGCATTTTCTTACAAATCCCAATGTGTTCTCGCTCTACCTTTCTTGATCTTCGCCATCTTCCGCTGCCAGACATTACGTTCTTTTAACGCACGTTATATACTACTTATATCAATATAAGTAGCTCACACCACAATATCTTTGTTTCTACGAACTAATTCTTTCTTCCTGTACTATATCCTTATTGCAGTCTTTCTTTTATATATTACCACCTCTGAATTAACTACTTTTATGAATCCGGTGTCCATCTTGTTGTGTTGTTGACTTGGACCGATGCATATACGTGCCTGGTCCTACGTTGCAGCTGACTGACTGTGTCTTTTATTAACAAACCCGACACAACCACCTACTAACATCCGATTGGCTAAAATCTCTTCAAGGTCGAAGCTTTATATCGTAGTCCAGACAATTTAATTACTAAAATACCTTTTCATTCGACGAGAAACAACCTAATAGTTCATGTCATATAATGTTACTGAATATTTTTATTTACTCCCGATATGATCAGTCATAACTTCGTATTAAAATTCCAAGAGTCTCTCTTGAAATCATTCATTTCTGAAAGAAATAATAATTGAGTAACCATACAGTATTATATTGTCATTAGCCCCGCTTTCAGGATTGTATATTTGAATGAATAGTAAGTTCTGTTTTTGTTCATGAAATCTCTATAGCAATTATCATTTATCTACACTAAACCACACAGAGATCCAGGCAAAATTTTAGTAAACAACAAGCTCAAGAAAGGTGTCTGTAAAATTATTCTTATTATGTAAATTATACCATGTTATTATCTAGAATAGTACAAGAAATACTTATATTTGTTTCGTATTATAGAAGCTAAATGTTATGACTTAAATATAGAAATTCTACTGGAAGATAAATACTTGCAAGTTTACTTGCCCAATATTAAACAACTTGAATTTATGATGAAATAGTCTTATAATGTAAAATGATACTTTCACAACGACGTGGGATTTTAATATTTACAATTTCCCTCAAAATTTGATCACAATGAACATGTAGTACTGTTATTTACTAAGACATCTTATCAATACTAAAAAAATTACAGCATTTGTAATCTTGAAGTGTTCTCTGAATAAATACTTTTTCTTTTAAGCAAATAAACAGCATTGAGACACATGAGCTGATTGTAGTAGAAATTCCTTTTTAGTACTATTTAAATCTAAGAGTACAGTTTTAACTCCTCAATATTTAAGTCAGAAATATATATAATTTAGAAAATAACCAGGGAAAACTCTAAGACATGTTTATTTTAACTGATAACTTGGACGAATAGTAAAGTCTCCAACCGTAGATTAAGATGTGAATCTAAAGGACTGTATCTTCCGACATATAGAATCAGTCCAAATGTCAATAACTTTATGAATTGATACTATGACTTTCACACATCACCCTCTTAATAATTTTTCTTTATTCCAACCGACTTTTCTATACCTGTTAGCACTGTACGTCGAAGTATCAACCCTGACTCATTACTACACATACTAAAGCCATAAAACATGATTGTTAATATTCCCCTTCACTAAATTATCACTACTAAATCAGTGTACATTTTAATAGCACCAATAAAAAAAAAGACTATTTACTTTAATTGTGTAACATTGGATATAATTGAATATAACAAGTATTATATGATCATCAACAAAGAATTAGAATATTGTAATTAATTTAAACAAGAATGAAGATGAATAATGAAAATTAAAAAAAAAAAAGAAGAAGAAGATAAACACACATAAAAAAACCCATTAACAAACACTTTAACAAAAATAAAATACAATGGGATATTTCTATTAGTTAGGAAGTTTCTAGCTTCTATAAACAAAATTCAATGTACAATTAATGCCATTAAGTCGATTTAAAACAAGTAAACTGTATTGTTTGTTTGTTTGTTTTTAAAGAAAAAAAATGTTCACCATTTAAAAATCTTTAATAAAATATATTAGATACTTTAATAACTACGGATAACATAAAGTTAATCATTTAAATTTACAAAGAATAATAGACAAGTCAATTCTATATAACTGACTATGTTGTTTTTTATAGAAAATATATACACAATCATAAGAGTGTCTTTTTCATTTATTCAAAATCTGGAAAGGAATTAAAATAATTTATTATCATATAAATATATATATAACTGTCTTAATTAAATGCTTTCTACATACAGGTTGAAAGAAAGCTAAAGGGGACTAGACCAAAACATGGCACAAATCCATGAAGTCACTGACATGTGGATTGAGCCATGTTGATAAGTGTAGACTAGGTGTTTGGGATTTGCAACCGATAGTTACAGACTTTGCAATGACGCACGTGCACCCACTCTTTGTGTTCTCCCAAATTCTAATCTTTTGAATTCTTTATGTCCCTTCTTTTTTTCTCCTTCCAAATTTATTGCACTACATTATACTCCTTGAAGAACATCTTCAAACCTAAATCGCTCCGATGACTGCTTAAACGTTTACTACCACTACTACTATGGGATTTGAATCGACAATTGTAGCTCTGTGCTAATATGGTATGACAACTCGAACTGATGTATGTACATACGAAGTTCTACGTTGTTACTGACAGACTAACCTACCTCATTTAAAAGATTGAAAAGTGATGCTCATTTTACTAAAAACACAGAACTCAGTTGACTAAGCTACACATACTCATAGTGTAGTGAACGAAAATAAGTGGGAACAACCGAATGTATTTGAACACAAAATTACAGAACATCTTACTAAAATCTGAGAATCATACAGTAAATACTTCATTTGAAAAAATATCAATCAATTGTCTAAAACTTGACTGTTTCTTTTGGAAATATTAATAAATTGTCTGAGACTTTATTGTTCCTGCATTTTCATACCAATTACTTTCTGTTCACGTTCTTTCGTTCTCGATCTTCTACTGCCAGACATTCTAATCGTGATTATCGTTATATACAACTCATCATGTCTATATAAGTAGCACACACCACAATGGCAGTACATGATGGTTAATGATACTACCACTACACAACTGTTTAGATTGAAATAGATATACAAAAAGACTTGAATTTGCAATTTAACCATCTAACATTGAATGCTTTTTAACTGTTAAGCCATTATTTTAAAACAGAATGAGAAATAAATTCAAATTCAATGAAGTCAACACATCACATTCGATTCTGATTGATTGAACTATTAGTACTATAACTACAAAATCAGTGTACAGCAAACTATCAATGTGTAATAATATGATGAGAATACTTAAAAAATTTACTAATATTCCCATGATTAACCTTTAAAATGATCAAAATAGTTTACATTGCACAAGCTACAACAAGTTGAATAATCAATTCAAAAAATCAACGATAATAGAAAAATGATTATCCGAAATGTTTTCTTATGTTTCTAGTTGTGACACTTAGTGGAATCTGAACAGATGTAACTATCCTGACTGGTGTCATAACTAGTAATGAGAACTAAATTTACAGTTTTCAACTCACTACTTTCAACTGCATATCATCAAAGAGACAGTATAAATCCACAATTTATCATGATATTCTAATATCATTTCATGTTTAAATTATCTACATTAATCTGAGTAGTTAATACTTAGTGTACAATCAGTCTTCAACAAATGCGACGTAAATCTTGAAATAAAACATTATTTTTAAATACACAACAAGTACTCCGAGATTGATTGGTTTAATCTTAAAAAAAACCCCACGA